TAAAGTTACGCCCAACGTAACGCCCCAAAAACTCGACTTCCTCAGCCTAGTACGCCCAACATACTCCTAGTGTACGCCCAACGTACTACCAGACTCTCTAGCTTAACTTCAAATAACCATAACTTCTTCGTTCCAACTCCGTTTTCGGCGTTCTTTATATACACGGAAAATGTATTGATGAGCCCCACAATCCTATATAACTAATTTTAACTTAAAACATACCAAACTAAAATCTTTATTCCAAAAAAGAAGTTCAAAACATTACTTTTCCAGTTTTACCCTTTGACTCCAAAACACAAACCAGGGGCTTGGATCGCATAACCAATATTATAAACATTCAATAGGATCTAAAACTTATTCCCTTTGAAACCCATGTCCTTCACTTGATCCATTTATTGTTCACTACCCCGAAATAAGAAACTTCTCGAAACAGGATGTTACACACTTCCATGTTTCTTTACTTTCCACTGCAACCACAACCCAAGCTTCATCATCTGCACCCACCACTACCCATCCTTCATCATAAAGTGCTTCTTAAACGGGAGGCTTCCGACCACCGAGTCTAGCGACGATCTTACTCTTCACGTTCCTAAACTTCAAAATCTGGCAATGAATTGTGATACCACTGGGAAGTCATGATCGTATTCCTCCTCTTCCTTCATCAACAACTGCCAAAACACAAGATAACAGGCACCAACACTCTCTAATTTTCAGGCGGTGATGAGGTAGACCTAGATGCAATCTTTGATCAAACTCCAACAGAGGATGTAGATCCAGATGTCGGTATCCGGTGGGACGACTTTAAACCCAAAAGAAACTTGATTTGGGTTAATTTTTGGATGAAATCAGAAGAAGATGATGGAATTAGAACTTCACATCTGCTTTGTTCTCTGCCACCAAGGATAAAGAATTTATCCATCGCTTTGGTTATATTAGGTTATAATACGAAGTTGTGATAACAACTGTAGGTTTGATTTGAAGCTATTTCTACAATAATTTGTTTATGAACTGTAAATTGTTTGTTTTTACAATTGAAGAATTTGGGGGTAGTTGGTTGTTCGATCTACTTCATTGATTATCATTGGCTCATATATCGGGATTCAGGGATTTGCTTACATGAGAAACAAACGATCCTTAACAAGTGGGTCCTTGACCCCCATCGTTTTTGAGATCTTTGATTTTTTTAGCAAGCCCGATCATTCTTAGCATATCTAATAATTATAGTTTTGAGATCTTTGAGTTTTTTATGCATATAGATGAGCACATGAATTGTTCCACTTGATTTTCTTTTCCACCGATAAATCGATTTGATACAAAGAGGAACTATGGAAGATGAGAGAGAGAGAGAGAGAGAGAGAGAGAGAAGTAGACCTCTTTTTTAATTATTAAAATAAATAAATAACTATTAGATTTTTTAAAAAATGAAAGAAAAATGAAAAATAAATACCCCAAGGGTATTACCGTCATTTCACTCTACCGAGGGACCAAATCCGCAACGAAACTAGCTCAAAAGAACCACGAAGCCAAAAAAGTCGAGGTTTGGACTAGGCATGAGCAAAAGGACCGAACCGGCCGGAACCGGCCCGACCCAGACCCGGACCCGACATGGAACCGGCTTCGGCCAAAATCAAGAACCGAACCGGCCGACGGTTCTACCGGTTCCGGGTCTGGTTTTTGCTGGGTTTTCGATTTTGGAACCGGTTTTCGACAAAATAGCAACATATTTTGGGGTTACGGTTTCGGTTTATGCCCGGTTATTGAATGTGATTATAAGCTCGAAGATCAATAACATGAATGCAAAACTGTTATGTTTTTTATATACATATACTGATATACATTGAGTATATACATATACATGGATAAATATTATTGTATTTTGTTTGTTTTTGTTAAATATCCGATTCCAAATGATTTATGTATAAAATATTAGCATGGAACTTGTCAAAAACTTACAACATGTAAAAGGCGGCTAACCTAAGTTTTTGTTTTAAAGTAGGTAGCCTTTAAAAGGAAATATAAAATTTTTTAAAAAAAAAAAAACTTTGTATTGTTTCAAAGTATTAATGGAAATCTTATACTTACTTTGAGTTTGAGATAAACAAATAAGGTGAAAAAGGTGGAGGAGTAATAAGAAGATTAAGGTGTTGTTTGTTTTTTTGAACCTAAAATGTCTGAAGTCTGCGGACCACATCTGCAAGCCTCTGCGGCAGAAGAGATGGACAAAATGTCTGCAGTCTGCAATAAGAAGACTGTTTGTTTTTAACGTCTGCAGATGTTGAAATAAATTGATTTTTCAAACTTAATTTCATGTCATAAACAATAAAAATGCATTTTCAGCAAAAAAAAGAAAAAAAGAAAGTGGCCTATGTTTTTTTTTTTAGGTTAAAATGAGGTCTGAAGACCTTTGAAGACAGTGGCCCATGTCTGCGCCAGGAAGACCTCGCGCATACGTTTTTTTATCTGCGCACTTCCAAAAAACAAACACTCTGCGCGGCGCAGACAAAAGTGGTTGCCCAGATCTTCACAAAAAAAAAAAACAAACAACCTCTAACTGTTCTAATATACATATACTTGGAGTCGCCGTGCAGTGCTTATTGAGTTGTTTCCGTGGCTTTTCTTTTACGATTGTTTTTTTTTACGTCCAGTCCAACATAGAAGATAGAAGTCCAAACGACATAAAGGTTTGGGGTTTTTTTTAAAGACTATCCGGTCCGGTTCCCGGTTTTGGGCCGGTTCCAATGACCGGTTTTTACCGGGTCCCGATTCCAAAAATTGCCGAGATTATGGTATCGGTCCCGACCCGACCGGTTCCATCGGGTTCCGGTTCCGGCAGGTTCCCCGATCCATATGCTCATCCCTAGTTTGGACTAAACCTCACAAAAATGCATACCGCAGGAACCATTTTTGCAGTTTTGTCTAGAAAATATATCAGAAGGGCATTACAATCATTTCAGTTTACCGGAGGATCAAAACCATAAACAAACTACCTTAAAAGAACAATGAAGCCAAAAAAAAATTCAAGATTTATATATTAAACTTCAGAAAAAAATACGCACCACAGGACATTTTTACAGTTTTGTCTTTTTAGTTAACATGAGAGACCAAATAAACGAAGCGGTAAATTTCTGTATATAAAATAATCCATTTCGAAAGAGTTGGCAAATGGTTTTTCATTTTACACACCAATCTACACTAAGCCTAGGACACACCAATCTAATACCTATCTACTAATATCCACTGTACAAAAATCAATGCACCTTTGTTTTAAGAAAAAAGCCACGCGCCTTTTTGGCTTATAAGAAGCTACGCATCTTTTAAACTTTTTTTTTTTTTTTTTTTTTTTTTTTTTTTTTTTTTTTTTTTTTGCAAACTAACATAGATACATCAAACCTTTAATCTAAACATTTAAATTTTATGATATTTATTATTAAACCTTACCGTTAAATTAATTTTATTTACTATAATTTTAATAATAAAGTATTTTCCAGTGACTTTTATTTAATTTATAATATATTAAAGCAAAATATTTCCTATTGCTTTTTTTTTCTTCTTTATTTACAAATTAACCCTTAGATACATCAAACTTTTAATTTAAACCTTTAAATTTTATGATATTTATTATTAAACCTAGGTGTTAAATTAATTTTATTTACTACAAACTTAATAATAAAGTATTTTCCAATGATTGTTATTTAATTTATATTATATTAAAGCGAAATACAAATAAAATATTTTGTAATATCAACTAAGTTTTAATTAATGTCATTTAACATCTATAACATTTATATTTTTAAACATAAAGTTGTAACTAAAATATAAAGGTAAACAAACAAAACATACATCCGAACGTTAATAAATTGTTTGACAAAAATAAATTTATTGTTTTTTATTTGATAAACGAATGTACATATGTACAAATGCATTACTTTTTTGAGGTAATTTTTTTTTATCAACGGACATGGAAAAAAATTATGGGTTTATATATATTTTTTATAATTAATGATATTAGGTTTATGAAAATAAAATAAAAAAGTCTAAAAATATGTCAAACAACTTTTGACTTTTTTTTATAACTTATTTTCTAAAAAAGTCACGATATTTTTTTTTGCTATTAAGTTACACAACTTTTGACTTTTTTTAGTCTAATTATTAAAGATATGTCATACAATATATTTATTGATTTTCTTTAAAAATATAATTTTTTTCCCATGCAACATTAAACCTTTTCGTTTTTTATAGATGTTTGTGGTTTACTTCTAACAAAAAATAAAATGTATTGAATTTTTAAAGTGGAATATATATATATATATATATATATATATATATATATATATATATATATATATATATATATATATTAAGTTTGTGGGTTTAAGTCTAAAAATCAGGTTTAAAAAATTGATGAAGATAAGGTTGAAAAATTTAATGAATTTTTTTTTATAAAAACAGTATTATTGTTATCTTTTTTTTATCTTATTAAAAAGTAAGTTTAAAATTAATAAATTAATAAAGTTAGTAATAAAAATTTATTAAATAATAAAGATAATAATGATTAGGTTATTATGAAATATATGTATAAAAGTTAATCTAATGATTATTGATGTGATTATTATAGGATAATGATATAAAAATAGAGGTATAAAATAGTGTATGATAGTAGACTGATGTTGTCTCTAGTACCCGATCCATAGAGGTATAGAATAGTGTATGATAGTAGACTGGTGATGTGATTATTATAAGATAATGATATAAAAATAGAGGTATAGAATAGTGTATGATAGTAGACTGATGATGTGATTATTATAGGATAATGATATAAAAATAAAGGTATAAAATAGTGTAGGATAGTAGAGTGTGTTGTCTCTAGTACCCGATCCATAAATCCAGGAAAACTTGATCATATGATAATTCACAGAAATCATGTGTCCCAAGAAAATAATATACAAAAAATATTAAATAAAGAATATTGGGACCCACATAAAACGGCCGTTGCCCGTTGGCTGCAAACTCGATTCAAAAATCCATAAATCGAGAAGAAAAAAGCAGCTCAAATCCCTCTACACAGATTCAAGAAAAAAGCCACCAACTGATTCACACAAAAATTAGCACACAAGTTCTAAAGATCTTTGAATCAGATGTGAAGCGGAGAAGAAGGAACAAGTTTCCAATGTCGTCGTGTTCTGTGGAGAATCAAAACCCTAACCATTCTTCCCCGTTAAATTGGTCCAACCTTTGGTTGAAGAACAAGAAAGCTCTTGATCATGTCTCTTCAACTATCCGCCGTCGTTCATTCTACAGAAAACCCCCACCACCACCCACTCCCCAATCACCACCGCCGCCGCCGCCACAACAACAACCACATGAAGTGACCGTTGTTCCTCCTTCTCCCCATTTTCAACAAACCGATAACAACGAAACCCTACTTCCTGATTCCCCCGATGTAGTCCCCTCTCATGATTTCATTTCCCTCCTTTCTGATGAAACACTCCTGCAAATTCTCTCCAAACTCCCTGACAAATCTCAAAGGAATTCGAGTTCATTGGTCTCCAAATCGTGGTTCAATCTCCAAGGTAGTTTGGTAAGGTCAGTTAGGGTTTTCGATTGGAGTTTCCTTACATCTGGTCGTATGCTCACGAGATTCCCTAACCTCATTGACATTGATTTACTTCACGGAAGCGTAATTTCTAGCAGCCATACAAAAAGCTGTGGTCTCTCTTTAGGCCCTGAATTTGGCCCCTTTTGCATCGATTCCGATGTCTTTTCACCAAACAACCATACTTTCCGACCTGTTAACGAAGTAGATTCTGTGTTGAAATCTCTAGCTACTGCATACCCCAATCTTCAACGACTTGTACTCCTAAATTCTTCCGAGATTGGGTTACTAAATCTCGCAGAAGGGTGTCCGAATTTGCAAGAAATGGTTTTGCATCATTGCCATGATCAGATTTTACGTGGGATTGCTGGGTTTACAAATCTGCAGATACTGAAGTTGATTGGAACCATTGACGGATTCTATTCCTCTTTGGTTTCAGACATAGGGTTAACAATTCTTGCTCAAGGGTGTAGAAGGTTAGTGAAACTTGAACTCAGAGGATGCGAGGGGAGTTATGATGGAATCAGAGCAATCGGACAATGTTGTCAAATGCTAGAAGAACTCACCTTCTGTGATCATCGAATGGATAATGGGTGGTTGTCAGCTCTTTCCTACTGTGAAAATTTGAAAACTTTAAGCTTAGTTTCATGTAAAACCATCGATCAAAGCCCTGGACTTGATGAACACTTGGGAGCTTGTAGATTGCTTGACAGATTACAATTGGAAAAGTGCAGATTATGTGAAAAGGAAAGTCTGCGAGCACTTTTTCTTGTGTGTCGATCTGTTAAAGAAATGGTTGTAAAAGATTGCTGGGGTTTGACAGATGGCATTTTTCTCAATGCCAATTTGTGCAGGTAGTTTCTTGTTTTCTTGATTTCTTAATTTCACTACTTATCTTCTCATAAAAAAAACAACTTTTTTTTGTGCTATTTGATGTTGATACAAATTATGATTGTGTGTTGATAGGAGGGTTAAATTTCTGTGGATAGAAGGATGCTCAAGGGTAACAACAGAAGGTTTAGAATCTGTTGTCCTTTCTTTGAAGGAGCTTGAAAGCTTGAAGGTGATATCGTGTAAAAATATGAAAGATGATGAAGTGAGTCATGTGCTTTCTATGTTGTTTTATAGTCTTAAAGACTTGAAATGGATGCCTGATAACAGATCGGTTCTCTCAACAAGTCTTGTGGGGTCCGGAATGGGTAAACGAGGGGGTAAGTTCTTTAAAAAGTTGCAAATTTAAACATGTGAACAACTCTTTCAAGACTTTTGTTGATTGTAAAGATAATGTAGCACTTGCACTTGTTGTGTATTAATGTGTATTAATTACTAACTTGATAGAATTCTTGTTGTATGAAAGAATGTCAATGCTTTATGCAATCACTACCTTTTGGGTTTTTTTTTTTTTTTTCTGTATTTAAAGTGACTAAATGGATGATGACTCTTGTATATATGAAGTATGTTTTCTTTTTCTTGAACTGAATAAACTATCTGGATGAAACTAATGATGAGTTTTATCCTATGTTTATGGATGATAAATAAAGTATGTTTCTTTCCTCATGTTTCCTTCGGTACCTTCCTTAAAAAAACTGGAGAATATGGCGTTAAGAAGGAGCTTTGATGGTAGGGGTATTTTTGTAAATGGTGATGGATGGATGAGTAAAGCTCTCATTTCTAACTTAACACACAAAGTAACGACATGTATCTATTAAATCATCAAGTGAAAAACAAACTCCTTAGGCCCCAAATGTGTTGGAGATGGGCAAAAGAATTAGGACCTCAAGGGTCTTGAACTCTTGATACTCTTTTTATATATTTACAGTATTAGTAATATTTAGAGATTGACAATTTCAACTCATTCAAATCAATGGATAATATTAGTGGCTTTTAAATTTAATGAAAAAAACATATGAAACAGGTGGAAAATGGGGGCATAACGTGTTTTCAAATGCTTATAACTACAAATCATCTTATTTAAAGAAAATAAATTATTATTAAAAAATATGATTTTTAATAAGATTCATGTGTTATAAAGACAAAATACATAAAACATGATAATCAAAACTTGTTATAATTCATCAATATTTTAATTGTTATTTATTATTGTATGTAAAGGTAGACCATGATATATTAACCAATATGGTTAAAATGTAATTTAAAATAACTAGCATCGTATTAGAAAAACTAGCTAGCAGCTAGAAGTAACTTTTATTTTTATTTATATAGAAATATTTGATAAAAGGTAGACCATGATATATTAACCAATATAGTTAAAATGTAATTCAAAATAACTAGCATCGTATTAGAAAAACTAGCTAGCAGCTAGAAGTAATTTTTATTTTTATTTATATAGAAATATTTGATAAAAATAGTTGTTATCTTTTAAATATATAAAACTATTTACAAACAAAAAGTTTCCAAAAACTACTCCCAAGTAATTTTGAATTCGAAGGTTTTTGTATAAAATAAAAAATAATACCTCCCACTGCCAAATAATTTTTTTTTCGAGCTTTTCATTAAAAACTAAAAAATCCTAACAAGTTTTTAAAAACTCCTTTCCAAATACGCCCGTAATAATAAAAAAGTATTTTAGTCTTTTCTTCATGCAAAATGCAAAAAACTGGGGAAAGAACAAATGCGAATACCATTTGTAGAGTGTCACAATCGTCGAATTGAAGGGAAAGCTTCGCTTTTTGTGCAAATCTCATTCATTTGTTCATCATCTTCTTGATTTTCAGTGTTCGCCGTTTGATTCTCTGCAGCTGCACGGATATAGAGGGACGATGAAGAAGGATAAATCAGTAGTAATAGAGAACCCTAGCGGAAGTGGTGTAGCTAAATCATCTTCTTCGAACAGGTTATTTGTACGAGAAGAAGAAGAATCAGAGAGAAAACAAACTACTTACGACTTCCCCTTGCCAATTGTTACTCGTAATGGTTCCTCCAAATACGATTTCGTCAAGGTTTGATTCGTTCACGTTGATCCGATTTCTCCGTCCTGATAAGATACGTTTTGAGTTTCAATTTCGGACCTTGTAATTTTCAAATGAAAACCGATACGAATGTTCTTGCAAATTTGGACCCTGATCAGTACTTGTTATAAATTAAAAGGTGGCTGGATACGAAATTACTCCATTGCTTAATCTTTCCAGTAAAAACAACGAAATAGGTGTTTGGAATGAAAACGGTCCCAAATGAAATCAACTTGAAATTCGAAGAGTAAACATATCTGATATCTCACAGTTTGAGTTAAAATGTAGCATTTGCGAATGAATAAGTACTATATCAACGTCCTGGGTTATGCACATGATTTTATTATTGGCTGAGTTTTGTTTCATTGATTTCAGGTGAAAGTATGGTTGGGTGATAATGCTGATCACTACTATGTCCTCTCAAGATTTTTGCTTAGCAGAATGTTGACTGTTACTAAGGTTCGGCCTTCAATCCATGGTTTCTTACAAGGTTCAATCCACTAGTTGTTATATCTTTAGAAGTCTTTATGCATCAAGAAACCTTTCATTTGCATGTCTAATCAGAAAATTGTTCACCATTTCATCTTGATTAATGATAATCAAGAATGATAGGTCCAATAGAAAAAGCTAAAATAAACTTTCAATGTCCTAGAAATAGAGAAAAGAAGAATTACCTGTGGATGAAAAAAAAGCATGCACCTACCACCAGTGTTTATACTTATGTTATATTTTAAGATAACCTTAAATTTAAGATTATCATGCTTTATTTTCAGATTCCCAATCATACTGCTCTCAAAATTGCACTTGAACTGAAGAAGTTGCTGGTAGACAATAGCCTTCTTGATGTGTATGTCATCATATTCCATCTTTTGATTGCTATCTTTTGTTGCTTCAAATATCTCATTTAAGTTGTTCTGCAGCTCCCAATCTGATCTGGAAACTAATTTGTTTAAGGTAATATATCTGCAAGATCCATGTTTTTCCTATATTATGCTACTTTATCCATTGACTGAATTACAAAGTTCTGATTGACCTAAAACTTCTGCATGAAACTTCATTGCTTATCTCTATTTCCAGCTCATGAAATGGCGTGGCTATGGGGCAAGAGTATATAAGTCGTTACAGGATGATGACAAGGTAAAATGAAAGAGTATGAAATAAATAGACTTGGTGATTGTTTATAATTTTTTGATTATAATTACATCCTCCATAGATTTCACCATCAAAGGGTACCACTGGTCATTCTTGTATGTGGGACAGCATGTGTTGGAAAGTCTACAATTGCTACCCAACTTGCACAAAGGTTAAACTTGCCAAACGTATTACAGGTGAACCCTTTTACATAATGTTTTCTTTGACAAACTTATGTGCATAAAAGATACATAAACTCCATTCGGATTGACATTCATTATTCATGAATCTTTGATATATGACAGACTGATATGGTCTATGAATTGCTAAGGACTTCAACAGAGTAAGTAAACTATCCATACTTACTTTTTCCTTCCATAATCTGCATGATACATATAACTTATGCTCTTTTTATTACTTATTACCTCAGTGCACCATTGGCATCTTCACCTTTATTGGCACGTGACTTTAGCTCCTCTGATGAGTTAATAACTGAGTTTTGCAGAGAATGTAGAATAGTCCGAAAAGGTAAATTTATAGATACAGATAATAAGTGGTTGTTTGTAGCATTATGGAAACATGTCCTTATATAAGTTCATGTTTTGACTTTTGACATAGGTTTGGCTGGTGATTTAAAGAAAGCAATGAAAGATGGAAAGCCAATCATTATTGAGGTATTTCATATGAACACAAAGATTCACCTTTTTGGGTTATGCAACAGAAAAATAAAATGTTTATGGTTGTAGGGAATGCATGTGGATCCAAGCATATACCTAATCGATGATGGAAATACCAACAAGAATGCTGAAAAGATGAATAAGGGTCCTGAAAGTGTTCCTGAGAATATTACTATAAGTTAGCTCTTAATTTGATCTCCTGCATTATTTTTATAGTTTTTTTTCTTAATTCTAATTGGTTATTTGGCTATTCAGTTAACAGTATGAAAGATCAAGTGTTGGAAAGAAAGGCTATTCATAAGAGAGAAAAATCTGGAGCCCCAGAGCCAGTTGTAATTCCTATTGTCCTAAAGATGGCTGAGTTTGATCATAAGGTGAAAACATGTTAACTTTTTATGAAATGTACCTTTGATGCATTTTTTTAGTTTTTATTCTTGACTTCCTATCATCTACAGGCATTACTAGAAGAGTGGATATCTACACGTAAATTCAGCAGATATCCAATCAAGGTAGAATGTTTCTTTTTCTTTTAACTTATTTGTAATTATATAAGGATGTGTCTTTTTCACTTTGAGTTGTATATTAACTTAGATAGTTAAAAGTTATTTTTTTTGTGGACTTTTTCAGGATAAAGACAAACTGATTAGCAACCTAAATACCATTCAAGATTATTTGTGCTCTTTCACATCACAAGTACACTAGCATCACTTGTTTTTTCTCTTAAACTAACGACACCTTTTTTTGGTCAACTTTTCATATTTTTATTCATGTTAACAGGGCTCAGAAGTAGCCAACATATCCGCAACAACTTTCCCTCAAACACTTGACTGGCTCCATAATCATCTTCTTCAGGTAAACATCAGTTTCCATTCATGTTTCTTATCAATTAATTCTTAATGTTATGTTTCTCCAGCGTATTGAACAAGGTATATCCTCCGCCTCTAAAGAAAATGTTGGTCAACATGATGAAACTTAGATTCGGGATTTCATCTCCAAAGTCAATGTTACAATAAAGACTCAAACTTTGTCAAGACTCATCTCATTTACAATAATACAAAATGGTGACAATTGTACATTTATATTCATATTCATATAGCAAATATATGGTTCTCAAAAGTGCCACTTGGGTCTCGTTTCTTCTTCTTTTTCTGTCAAATCTCTGTACTGATACCATTCTCCTCCCACTTTACCAACCGGAAGTGGGGCCCGGACAAAAATCTCAACAGGTTTAGGAACATGAACATCTAATGAAATCTCCATCTCCTTTTCTTCAACTAAAGTTGACCCCACTTCTTTGACCCTTTGACCAAGACCAATGGGTTCAACTGTTATCCACCCAAGACCCGAGATCGCCACATCACACGCAGGTCTACACATGACCCAAATCATAACATAAAAGATAGCCTTTTAATGGCATAAAAATATAAAATTCAACAGATGTTATAATAACAGTCAAAATAGTTAAATACATAATCATATATCATACCTTTGTGTGTCATCGAATCTTATTTGTAACTGGCGAATAGTTTCGAGTCCTGTCCAAGTTGCTACTTGTTCTCCACTTGGTGGTGTTAAAGCAACTCCTACTTCTTTCTACACATGTTATACAAGCTTCTTCAATTTTTAACATAATGTTTAGCATAATACATATGTTTAAGTCGAACTATACCTTGTAGAATTGTTCTGCTTTATTTGTGGGTAGAATATGAAGCTTTAAGGCTTTGGGTCCATAAAATGTTAAACATGTTTCCGGAAGGACCTAAAGAATAGAAATATAACATTAAAAAAAAAAAAAGAAGTAAAATGATTGTGGAACTTGGTTATGTAAAGATAGTGAAGATTAGAAAGTCAAAATACCTTCAAAATATCGATTCGAACAAGGCCTCCCCAAAATATGGAAAAGCCAGTTAAGTCATTGAACTCCATTTTCTCACTTACCCATTGATCCAAGACTACCTGTTTCTGTTAAATCCAAGAAATAGCAACATACTTTCACTTTCAGTGTTATATAGTTTCAAAACATAAGTAAATGAAAGTACATTGCTATTACAAGAAAGGAAAACATACTGTAAATGATTGACCTCTGAGTCGACTCCTGGGAGCAAGAGCAGGTAGATCTTGTGAATGAACCACTGCAGCTTGCCTATGATGGAGATGAACTCCAGGTGTGTCATATAATTTCTGAATCAATTATCCAACAATTTCAACTTTTACAAAAATGGCCCTTCTTCATTTATAATATACTAAAAGTTGAAACAAAATGACATGCATACCCCTCCTCCAAGGAAAGCGTTAATTGGAATTGGGCCAACTGTGGTTCCAGGAACAGCAGATTGTATTGGTTTATATTTTCTTGCCATTGCAGCAACTGGATCTTTATTTGAAAGCATCTCTGTGTATGTTAAATTGGTCATTAACATAAATATAACTGCAACATTCTTTTTTTTTTTTATCAAACTCCAAAAATTAACTTACTCAATAATGCATTGATAAATGCAGATTTCCCCACATTAGCTGCTCCCTGAAGAAACACAGAAAATTGTCACTTTTTTTAGTAAAAAAAGCTAGCATTTTGTTTTGGCAGTTTAAGAACTTAATTTTGTGGGTCCCTTGTACTGAATAACTAACCAGAATGTACACATCCCGCCCCTGCAAAAATAAAAAAGTGTATTATGTATCTTTTTTCAACATCATTTATCCAAACAACACTTTGATAAAAAGAAAAAAAAAGGAAAGTGGATCTTACCTTCTTCTCCTTCTGGATTTCAGAGATAACTCCAGCAAGTCCAACCAATGACTTTGAACTTGTCATATGGACACTTAAAACACTACAACAAAAAAAAAAAAAAAAAAAAAAAAAAAAACAATATATGAATGTTTCTTTTTCACTTAATGCAGAAGGAATGCAAAATCAGAAAATTGAGGCTTCCCCCATGAAAACAGGGCCTTACTTAAGCTTCTTTTTCATGGTGGCTTCCACAACCCAATCACCAACACAATTAAAATCCGTCCCTTTTGGAAGAAGATCAACCTTCATCAACATTGTTAACAAACATAATACAAAAAAATTAGCAACAAGAATCAACCAAGAAACGGAGAAAAGAGAAAGAATATTCACCTTAGTCACAACTAATATAATCGGATTTGCTCCAGCAAGATCACGTACATGAGCCAAAAAGCTGCCATTGAAATCCACTATATCAACCTAAAAAACAATCAACCATTCACCATTAAAGCTATTTACAGATTATGATTCTACAATTGAAATCCATGATAAGCCTCACCAGTTTTACAATCAAAGCCTTTTCATGGCGTAAATGGCGTAACTTTTCTCTAAGCTCCTCCGCAGTAACAAACTGTTTTCCACCGGCGTAACCTCCATTTCCGCCCACCGCGGTGACCATATGTCCATGAGATAACAACCGACACCTCCCACAAAGAATTGTTCTAAGCTGACGATGTTTCTTCTTCTGCAATTACGCTAAACAAATCAGTTATATGAAACAAACAATTGTCCGAACACAAGTACCCAAATTTCAATTCTTATACCAATTCATAGGTTTCCGGGTCAACATAACCCGGGGCATCCGATTCTGAAATCTGCAACGGAGCTCCACACCCGTAACAGCTGTAAGTTGATGTCGAAGTAGGTTTCAATGAACCATTGATTTTCTCTTTCTTCTTCTTCTTCTTTTTCTCAAGAACGAGAGCTGAAGCTGCTAAGTGTTGTTGTCGTTCAAGGAAGATATCGCCTCGGGTCGGGGCGGCAGCTCCGGTTCCTTGTGATTCAGGTGCTGAGACTGATAATTGGGTTTGAGTTGGTGGTGGATTTTGTTGTTGGGACTGTGAATTAATGGCTTTGCAAATGATTATGGTTCGACTCGAATTGCAGAATTTAAGGGTTTTGAAATGGTGAGGAAGGAGGAATGTGGAGAAGGAGGTGAGGGAGAGGGTTTTAGGAATCATTATCGGAATCAGAAGTGTTGGGGGTGGGTTTTTTCGAGCTAAAAACGTTTTTGAGAATCTTGTTGGCTTTTATGGCCCCTTTACTTTTATTTATTTACGTTTTCGCCCCTTCACTTTAGTCCTATCAATAGTGTTGCTCGAATATTAATCTATTTGGCTTGTTATTTCTCAAATCGAAAAATACATTGTTATGAAAAAACTATTTAATTAAATAAAAAGCTTCATGTGTATAGCTTATAATTTTACAAGCAAAATGAAAAGATTCATGGTGAAAGAGTTTCCACAATAGCTTGTTTGACTTTGACAAGCTTATTGATCCAAAAAAAACTCTCAATAAGCTTTTATTATGGATGTTTTTAGTATTGTGAAGTTTATAAGATATATTGAAAAATAACAACGCACTTAAAAATGATTGAGAGAAAAATTAAATAAGGGCATATATGTAAAAACTATAAGGTTGAAAAAAAATAATAATGGGAAATTTTCTTTTCATTTACATTTTATATTGAGTTGTGTTGTTCAGAAGCTATGTTATGCAATCAAAACATCCTAAGTGTTTATTAACGGTGTCACACCGTAATAAGTTAATAAACTGAAATGAAATAATTTATTTAAAAATGTTTATTAGTTGTATTTAGATTGTGTTTGACTCACTACTTGAAAAAAATAGTTTTTAACGGAAAATCTACTTTTGGTTTGATAATGCTATGAAGTATGAAGATGGGGAAGTATGCAAAGAAGACAATGTGGCATACGGTGGAGAGGGAGAACACTCCCTCTCCCCTATGCAATGTCCCGCACTTACACCTCCTTTGTGGGAGAATTGAATGACAACCAACATCTATCTTCTCTCCTCTATTTTTAAATGCTATATTTTTAAAAGTTGGATTCAAATGAATAAAGGTCAAATGAATTCCATATGAATCCACTGAAAAATAGTATTTTGGTACAAACTGATCATGTCCGGTTTGAAAAAAATGGTATGTACTATATAGACAACTATATTTAGGTACAAACTAGTTTATAAGTTAGATGACAAATATAAAATGATATAAAAGAACGTTTAGAATAATTAAAAACTAAAAGACAACTATATTTAGGTTTAACACATTCTCTTTGTACTATATATCATATTTGCAATATTATTATGAATTTCTCATTTCTAATGGCTCCACTCTCGAGCGTTAAACAATTTTGTTCATCTTAATCAATGAAAGAAAGAATCAAATTTATTGAAAAACACTCAATTTTGTTTCTTCGCGGTAAATCTTGATCATAAAAGTTGAATTTTATTAAAATGTATTAATAACTTTTATTTCAAACATTAATTTACATTTTTTTTCCTATAAACATATGTTGCGTATACTTATCTTATTACTAAAGTTTTTAATAAAAAAATATAGAAAACCAATTATTATATTTATATTTATAACATATACTTATCTTATTACTAAAGTTTTTAATAAAAAAATATAGAAAACCAATTATTATATTTATATTTATAAAATATAGTGTCGCACCTAAAAAAAAAAAGTTTAGATCATTTTATAGTAACTATCTCAAATATATTATAAAGTCTATCTCAATTTTTTTTTTTATAAAACTAGCTTATAAGCCATCATCATGAGTACCTTAGTTGTCTCACGAATTCACAAAACAGAGCATAAAACACAACATAAACCATTTTGTACAATCTAAACATTCAAAGTAACTTATTACCAGTAACAAAACCCCAATAAGCTAATAAACACTTTAAATAAGCAAATTTCAAACACTCCCTTGCTAGATAAAATCATGTCCACATTTAGCTCATTAAGTAAAAAAAAAAAAAGAACAATTTAGTCATTAAACCCCAACCAAAAACATAAGATGCTAGCCATCAATCCAAGGGTAAAAACTAAAATGAAGTTCATACTTATACTCCCTCCTATCAAATAAAAATCATAAAATCATAAAAATAACCATATTTAATCATATGTGTAGAAGCAAAACCAACTTCATACTTATAATGCCCGATATCATAGAGGTTGCATCTCCAAATTGGTATGATGTTCATGTCCATTCACAGCTGATGATGATGATGATGACTCTTGATTATTATCATCAGCAGAATTCATCTGCTGAACAGGAGGAGCATTAACAAGAGTCATTGGCATCACAAAGTTATCAGAAAGCCTTCCCTTCATCTCCCTATGTTCTTGACACAACGCACACCAATGCATACAACAATGCACCAAACACGGATCACATGGTGAATTCTGCAAATTCAAATAAACTAAATACATTAATTACATCACAGCTTCAAATAACTACATTACAACAAGGGCATTCATGTCTTTTTTTACCTTAAGATGGTATTTCTTCTGCAACATTTGTCGAACAATCCCAGTGTATATACCACACATCCACCAACTAAACAGCAGCCCTTCACAAATGAGAAATGATGTTCTAGGGTCAATAACTCCATGCAATGCTGCTGTTGTTGCAGCAAGTGCAAGACCTCCTTCAATGAAAATTGCATGAAGAACACATGGAGTTGTTGTAGAGCCATAGTCATCTCTTAGGGTTTCATAATTGCGCCCAAAAAGAACACATGGACAAAAAAGTCCTGTCCAACCTGAACATATGGTAATATAAAAGGGAAATCAGATGAGATTTATATATGCTGTGTAGTGTGGTGTAGAAATTTGGTTTAAGAGAAAAGCTTACAGCTTTCTGGATCTTCTGCACAAGCAAATATACCAGTTGTCCATTGCTCAACAGCAGGAGGCTCAAAGCTCTCAGGTAATGGTTGTCCACATTCATTGCACTTGCGCACATTTAACTGTAAATTAAGTGAGATTAAAAGGATGTAAGGAATTTGTAGAAAGAAATATGTCATATCGTAACAAAAGAACTAAAAGAATTATCCTGAATTAAGTTGATTTAGATAAGAAAGATCTAAACCACGTTGCCACACAAAAAAAGCCCTAAATTTTGAATTTTCTGAAGAGGTTTACTTTTGAAGTAGTGTGAAAGTTAAATTTCAAGGATTAGAATGCATCCAGATCTCGAAACATGCTTCAGAATTTCTAAGAACTAATATAACTTATACAAGTAATTGAAATTGGTTGATTGTATTCTTCCGAACAAAGGGCTTTTTAAGCTAACAAGTGAGTACGTTCACATCAAGCAATGTCCATAGCTCCATACCACGTAATCACACTCATCGTCCTTAAAATCCGAAAAACCCTAAAGTTAATTGATTAAACGTTGAACGCTAACCGGATCGGTCAACTGACTACAATTGGTACACAAACATGCCGTGATCAAACCTGAGGGACTTCAATAGGCTGATTGAGCTCTCCCGGATTAACCTCGACAGGCGCTTGATCTTTGTTCAACTTTACATACCGCGATGGATTATCTCCATCCGCCATCTGATCTGAAACAACGAGTGATCAAATTATAGAAAAATGAAAAGACGAAATTCTAAAGTAATCAAGCGAGTTGAATACAAAGACATCGACCGGAGCTCCGGCGGCTTGTCCATACCCTTGACTGAATTCAGCAACTAGTCAAAGACAAAATCTGTGATACGAATGCAGATGATCTTCGGTCCGGAAGTAAACGGATATTGGAGGAAGATTTAACAAGGAAACAGGTCTCTGACTTCTACGGAAATCCAAGCGAGTTGCAAATCTACTGCTTGTAGAGCACCCCCAGTTTAGAGTTAATTACATAATGAGTCCCTGCACTATATTTCAATATGCGGTATTAGTTCATTTGACTTTTTCTATTTTTAGTTTTATTTGTTCTCCGGTTATTTTAAGAAAAGAAAATTTTGAATGAGAGAAAGAAAGAAAGAAAATGTTTATATTTTCATTTGTTGGAAATACTTTACTCGGACCCACTCAGGTTCGACTTGGCCCATAGAACTGTTTTGTAATTGCCATTAAGGAGAGGTTTATGGAAGTTTCGTAATTGTCATCGAAGGTCTTCTTATGCTTATTTAAAACAACTTATGCTTATTTGTAAAAGTGTATTAGTTTTATCAGGTGTCAAAACGAAGTTTTAGAAATAGTGTTTTGATTAGTTTATCCGGTATTAAAACGTAATAAGTTGATTAGTTATTTTTTAGTGTTTTGTAATTTCTTCTTATAGATGTAAAATGTCAAATAAGGGTCGGATATATAGAGACATATATTTACAATAGGGTTAATATGGTAAATTGGTTTAAATGAGTCATAAGCTATTTTAGATAAGTTAGTATCCATTAACATATCAAAAACTCATTATTTAAGTCAATCAACACTTTTAGTTTTAATCTATTCAAACACTAAAAACTACTTATTAGCAGTGTCAAACCATTATAAGCTAATAAACACATTAAATAAACAATCCCAATAATCTTATAATTCTTTTTCTCCTTTTACGTTTTATCCTCATAGATGGTAGAATTTGAGATTTTAGTTTCAGATTGTTGTTAATTTCTTCTTCAATAGTTCAAACTCATCAATAGAGGTGAGCCTTTTTTTCGGTTTCGTTTCGTTTACTCCCAAACTCTTTTGCTTGAGAGCTTGAGAAATTGTGGTTTTTAATTGAGGTTTAAAAATTAAAATTGTTATTGAATTATTCCTTATAGTTAAAGCAAATAACACCGAAGTTGATAGTTTCTTAGTGTCGTATCATAAATGATTAGTCTTAATATTCTTTTAAACTATTTAATCATATCATTAACTTCTATATGCTTATTTACTTTTTTGAGCTATTTAACCATGAAATACGGTAAAAATATTTATATACGATCAATTACCTTTTTATGTCATTTTTGTGGGATTTTAGGATCCCAATCCCAATTTTACATTTCTAGTCTTGCAAACTTGAAAACGATTATACGTAGGATCTTAATCTTGACAACTTTGGTTGGACAAAATTTATTTACTTTAAAAAGAAAAACTAAAATAAAAAGATTGGATCGAATACAATGAATATACATAAATCTCTTTATCCAATAATAAAGAGTTCATACTTTTCAAACTATAAGGCCTTCTGGTATAGATAGCACGAGAGTGCTCGTGGTCTAGGTGGCCACGAACCACGACCGTGCACACCACCCCGGTGGTTCGTGGTGGGTCGTGGTCGTGACTCTCCGTGCTCCCGACAACGAACCCAAACGGCCAATAGTTTAATTTCTTGCATTTAAATCTCGTTTGACCACTTTCTTCCTTCCCTAACGGCTCCTTTTCTATTTCTTCAACATTCTCCTATAAATACTACCACTCGTCTTCTTATTTTCATACAATTCTTCTCCCCTTTAGATACATTTTTGTTGTTTGATCCTTCAAAAACTATGCCTCCCAAAAATAAGAAATGGTCAGAAGAGGAAGAAGAGAAATTAGCACAAGCATGGGTGACAGTTTCTGAAGACAACGCTGGTAAAACTTCCGATTCTTTTTGGATAAATGTTGAAAGTGTTTTCCATGGTTTAATGGGTTGTGCAATTCGAAATGTTGATGAAATATGCTTGAAGTGGCGCGATATAAGGCCCAAATGTTCTGAGTTCAATGGAATTTACAATTTTGTTGTAAACAACATACACGAAGCTGGTATCGATCCGGTTAATGTGGTCATTGAGCAATATGAAAACACAAATCATCAACGTTTTAGACATGTCAAAGCTTGGCAAAAATTGAATAATTCTCCAAAATGGAACACAAATTAGAAGTTTGGTATTTTTAGCCTTTTAATTCTTAATGTTATTTTTATTGTTTTTTATTTTAGTTAATGTAATTTTTAGTTTTAAAAGTTATTTTTATTTTTTTCGTTTTACTTAATGTAGTTTTTAATTAATGTAATTTAGTATTTTAAATTAATGAAAATTAGTATTTAAAAAAACAATTATATGAATTTTTATGTATTTTTGAATTAAATTTAATTAAAAAAAATGATGTGGAGTGGTGTGTTAGTGGTAGGTATCTCATGTTAGTGGTAGGAGAATGTGGTGTTGATGCGGCACCCACCACATATGTGGTATGTGGTGGGTATAACGGATGGCCTAATAAGCTCAAGCTTTACTTCACTTTTTTCTAGAAGATTTTCCAACGCACTCTTCACGGACCAAAAGGTTGGAATAGTTTATTTATTTTTTAAACATTAACAATACCATGATACTGAAAATATATGGATTGCAAAGTATTGCATAGTAAATATGTGTCTATATTTGATCTTATAAAAGTGAACAATCCTTGTTACTTTGTTGAAAATTATCTACGTGTGATGTATTTGACTATTTATAGTTAAAAAAAATATAAAGCTTACATGTTTGAAATTATTTTAATGAAGAGTGGGATTATAAACATTTAAACTCTCATAATTAATCATATTTCGATTTCCTCCTTACTGTATGTGCAGGGCCGGCCCAGGTACCTGGGCGGCTTGGGCCTTGGCCCAGGGCATCAAAGTTATTGGGGGCATAAGTCTGAGCCCAACTATTATGCATATATGTAAAAATTTCGGCCATTCTTTTTAATCAGTAGATCCGTATTACGCTCGATGGGAGTGAGGGCGGCAAAAAGTCGCGCGGTGAAATTTCTGTCCATTGGAAACGGATTGACACACCATTATTTACGCCCCTAGCCAGACGGTTGGAGATTTCATAGATGCAATGGACGTTAACTTGTGTGTTTGTGATTTCTGATTTTTCTTTATCAGTATGAATCGAAATCAGTATCTCTAATCTCCACTTCCGTAATCATCTGTAATTTGTTAGGCTGTAATCTTCATCTAATTATCTAAGCTTTTAGTCTCTCACTCGCAAAGGCACAATATCACCTTCTATTCTCCCTCATGTGATTTTTGTGTGCGGGTTGTTCTTATTATAATAAAGATTTTAGAGTTAATTTAGAGTCTAGCTTCCCATCCTGAGTTATTGTGTGGTTGAGCGAAACTAAGTCCAAATGTGTTTTCCAGCTTTTTTAGACATTGGCATCTTTTTGTTTTTTTATATCAAAAACACATTTGTATTCGAGTGAAAGATGTATCTTCCGCCACTTTTTGTATTCAAGTGAAACACATTTGTAGTCACTACATGAGCTACGTTGTAGCAAAAAAAATTAACTTCATATTTGTTTAGTTGTATTTACAGTTTTAGTTATCAATTGTTTAGCATTAATATGCTTGTCTTTAGACATTTTTTGGTTGAACGCTAGAGTGTTTAGTTTTTTTTCAAGATCTTAATCCTTTGATTGCTTAGCACTAACTTAGTAACTTATAACTGTTTAGTTCTTAATCCGATTGAAGGATTTAACTTGTAATTGTTTGGTTATTTTGGGAATTGTTCATCTAGACTTCAAGGAAGTAAATAGAGGATTTGAAATTCTATACAAACCAACAATACTTATTCATTGTGTGTGGGATTATACACATCATAAATTCTTCATATCAAGTTTGCATCTGTATATTTGAGAGAAATGATGCACACTAGAAGACGATGCTAAAGATAATGAGTTTCATATGGAGTACACTAAAATTTTGATTTGACAATAGAGTTGGTGTTTACAACTCTAGATGTTAATTTTTCAAACTCTAGAGTATAATCACAAGAATGTTATAATCACAAGAATGCAAACACTTCTATGATTAACATATCACCGGTATTTTGTAGTTTAACTTTATAAAAACGGTATTTTGTAGTATAATATATCACTGGTATTTTGTATTTTGTAGTTCAACTTTATAAAAACGGGGCATAATTATGCAATTTCGCCCGGGGCATGAAAAACCTTAGGACCGGCCCTGTGTATGTGTACACAAAAAATCATACAAGAAAACTTACATGAAGACCAAATTCAAAGCCAATAAGAAGTGACTATTGAGTCAAACTTCAAGTGGTGCATTTGAGAGCTACTCGAATGGAAACAAAAAATGACTATTCTTTGAACCACTTGATGTTGATGTGTCACATCATTGTTATTAATAAGGAAATTCAAACCACATTCAACCTATTTCAAATGGTAGCGAATCAAATTATAAGATCCTTGGTGAATGTATGTCAAACAATCATTTAAAGAAAAATATGGATTACATTTGGAAAGTTTTTCTTGCACCAAAACCTGATTATAAAACCTTAATTTTGAGTTATTTCATTTATTGGCATACAAAGTGGTAGTTTGAAAACAATTATTTAAAGAAGACAAATCATTTCTTAGGAATTTGTTTCTTTGTATTTTGGTTGATGTCTTTCCTAGTCAATGAGAACTTAGGGTATCTCGTTAATGTTTCTAGCATAGATCGTGACATTTATATCAATTTAATGTTAGGTATTCTTAGTTGTATTTTTTTTATACAGCTGAATTTTTATTGAAAAAAGTTAGCAAAACACTAACGAAAAATCATTATAAAGGAATAGCCAAAATTGGGTTTGAAAACCATGGAAACCTACTAACACTTATTTTCCTATTCTTATAAACAAATCAATTGTATGGATAATCAACCAAACTCTCGGTTAACGTATTACGTCTAACATTATTACCACCAAAAAGAATTTCATTACTAAAATTCCACATAAGCCACAACATAGTCGTGACAATTGATTCCAACGTTAGATGTTTCATAATATACATCCTTATTGAGTCTAATCAGAGGATAACATCTTCAATCGTAGTAAAAAACAGGATAGTAATATCGCACCACCTACCCACAAACTTCAAAAGATTCGAAGCCACTTGACATTTAATAAAAACATGGACAATATCCTCTAAATCTGAATTGCAAGAAGCACAAATCACTTATGAATATTAAAACCTTTCGTGTCCAAATTCAATCTTGTTGGAAGCCTATTGAGACGACACCACCGATAAAAAATATTCGCTTTTCGGGGAAGGTACTTAATCCAACGAGTGGAGATCACACCATCAAGAAGAGAATTGTCGTCGATGATTTTCGTAGCTTCCGACACCGTAAAATAATCAAACCACCAACATCCCACACCTATCTATCTCTAGTCACGGAAGGATTGAAGTCGAGGATCATATCCAACAATTGATTCATATGTGAAAAATTAGACCCTCCGAGAATGGGTCGAGTCCAATTCCACCTCCAATCGGTTCCATTCCATCGTTGGAAGATATTACAGCCTTTAATAACTTCCAAAAGAAACAATCTAGGAAAACGATCCCCTATCCAATGATCATTCCAAAAAATAGTAGAAGCTCAGTCACATACATGTCTATGAATAGAATTCTGATAGATAATAGTTGAATCATGGAGTTGATTGATTATTCTCTCAATCCTAGACCAAACACCTTTCTTTAACCGCAAATTGTCAACCCATCCCAAACCACCATCTTGGCCATGAAAGACTTAAAAAACGTTACACCACAAAGCTTCATGGTTATTGAGAAAACGCCATTTCCATTTAAGGAGTAAGGCTTTATTAAATGCCTCTAAAGAACCAATATCTAATCCGTGTTTCTCTTTATTTGCCAAAATTGCGTTCCATTTGATCCAATGTAGTTTTCGTTCACCTTCTTCCTTCTCCCAAAAAAAATCGGCCCTCGGTCTTTCCAAATAAGTATTTACAACACTTGGAAGTTGGAATACGAAACATTGACATATAACAAATACCTAAAGACCCCAACATAGATTTCAAGAGCATATAACGACCACCAATGGAGAGCATTCTAATTTTCCAAAAAGAAAGTTTCTTGTGAAACTTATCTATAATAGGCTTCAATCCTGAGAACCGAGACATGCAAGCACTAACTAGAAGCCCTAAACATGTAATAGGGAGCTTAGCAGCCTTGCAACCGGTTAAATTAGCAAATTGGTTAATCCTAACTTCTGAAACACAAACGCCAAAAAGGTTGGATTTTTGGAGATTAATTTGGAGCCTTGAACCCATAAAGAAGCATTAATGGCAATCAGATTAATAATGTTATCCTTATTCCAATCACCGAAACATAACGCATCCTAGTTGTATGTCATAGTTTGTTAACTAGTTGTTGCATATTCTTTAGTTTCATGATAATTTTATTTTCCATATTTGTTGATGTGAATTACTTTCTTAAATTTTAAGCATTATATCATGATTATAGATATGCTTTTACTATGTTGACTTTGCATGATTAATGATGTTTATAGTATTATGATATAACGTAGTGACCTTTTACTCCATAATATACTATAAGTCATAATTTAACTTATTTAATCATTTATGAAGTAAGTTCTATATATAGATGTATATTAATTATTCTTGCATATATGTCTGTTATAGAACTACATGTTCAAACCTGGTTTCTACATCAAAGAACATTGTTGCGGAACTTTAACAAGTGTATTAAACCAAATATGGAAAACTTTGAAATATGGAGCAATAAAATCCAGTATGTATTGGAAGAGCAAGAGTATCACAAGGTTCTTACTAAAATCATGGAGAAACTTGAGGAAGGAACACAACTCAACATAAGGGAAATGTGACTTGCTTTAGCTAACAAGTTTGGTGGAACATCTATTACTAAATTGAATGCTAATATAATGTCGGCTAATTAACTACACTCGTAATAATTCTCACACACATACTCTTTTTTTTCGTACAATTAGGTTACATTAAATGACATATATATATATATATATATATATATATATATATATATATATATATATATATATATATATATATATATATATATATATATATATATATATATATATATATATAGGGGAGTTGACCTAAATGACTTAGAAACCAATGTCGGCCCAATGACCCTTATGAGAAAAGATCAAAACTACAATGTCAACGTGTTCTCCAAGATAAGAGTTTGGAACCAGCGCCATGCTCTAAAATTAATAACAAACATTTTGGAGAAACTTATCTTAATTGATAATTGTTCTTCAAACTGAGTTTCAGATCATTCTTCCTTCCACAATCTTTTATATCCTAAAACCTCATGTCTCTATAAAGTTTGGCATCCGCATAGAAAACTCTTTTGACGTGTTCCACATTGTGGAGCTCCAACAGTAACTCATCAGACTTTTCATTTAGACTCCACAACTCAACAACTCTTGCCCAACCGTTTAATTTTGATTTTCAAGAAATGGGCGATTGGTGATAATCGAGTGTGCTCCCTCTACCTTCAGTCTTCAATCTTAATCTCCAATCTTATATCTAATTTGGGCCCTTGAACTATGTTTAGTCTTATTTTTTTTTAAAAATGTGGTTATAAATTACATTGCCCATAAAAATTTTGGCCTTCTTGAAAAGATAGGCCTTAGACGGTCGTTCATCTTGCTCACCATATAGACTGAGTCTTCTTATAAATCAGGCAGTGAAGTAGTATAATTAATAATTTTTAATATCTTCTTATGTTTCATATGATATATAAATTGTTTGAGCTTTATATATTAGTATTTGCTTTCAACTTTATTACCTTTTATAAACACTTTTGGGATCAATTTCACGTATAAAATGTCATCTATGTAAAACAATTATTAACCCTTAAGTGGACACTGTATCATCATACTTCTGTACCTAATTTTTAGAATTTGGGTATTGTACATAAAACCTAAAAACCAGTTTGATTGTCAGTGATTCTCATCTTTAAAAAATTGATTCATCATACATAAAATATATGTTAAAGTGATTTGTACGAGACTTATATGATATCTATAATTATATTATACTTTATATAGCTGAATACTTTTTTAAAATGGAATGTGTAATGGAAAATTGATAAAATATTTAGTGATCTAGTATAATTAAATAATTATAGTTTACAAAATAAATGATAATAGTTGGTAGTTGCAAGTTGCAACATTTTTCATACTAAGAGGGGTTAAAGATAACCGAGCACCCAAACAGGTGTACTCCTCGACATTGATACTTATTTTACGCCCCCTTTCATTTGATTGCATCGCCCTAAAATTTATCATGATGAAACCCTAGACAGAATCCCAATTCGTCACCATAAACCCCGTCAGCTCTCCCTCACCCTACTCGATCTTCTACTAAGTAATCAATTAGGGTTTCATACATTCTTTGCTTACCTGCAATCCCAGTCATGGACGCCCAAAGAGCCTTGCTAGATGAGCTCATGGGTTCAGGTTTATATTTTCTATATGTTCTTGCACAATCCTTGTCATTCTCGTGTTTATGTTTTCGGTTTTATTTGGTTTTAATTTTGGGATTTTGGATTTGGATTAAGCTTAAGTCCATCGCAATTGGTGCATGTTAGGACCTGAAATTTTGAAACCCTAATTATCTGAATTGATGTGATGGCTTATGTTTTTTTGGTTATCGGTGGTGTATTTTAGCTCGCAATTTGACTGAAGAAGAGAGAAGGGGACACAAGGAGATCTCTTGGGATGATAAGGAAGTATGTGGCTTCTACATGGTGAAATTTTGTCCTCACGATCTGTTCGTGAACACTCGAAGTGATCTAGGTGGGTTTTGCATTAACCTCCTCTATTATATTCAACTAGCTTCTCTATGTTAATGTTCCGAAAGATTGAAAAATAAAATTTGTCTGTTTAACAACTCTCCTTTTTGTCCCTTTCAAGCTTCAAAAAGGTGTACTTATATTAAAATATAAGAATTTCAATGGAAAACTCAAAACAGTAATAGATAAAGCAAGCCACAACAATAGTTACCTTGAAATTGGGACTAACCACTTGGAAAATTTAACTTAACATGTTACTTTAGGCAGAATTTTATGAATGGCTATTGAAAGAGTTATGGATTCTTTATCATGAAGTTCAACATGATGATTCTTTTTTCTGTATTATTTCTTTTCTCAGGTCCATGCCCTAAAATCCATGATCCGAAGTTGAAAGAAAGGTAACAAATTGAACTCTGAAACATATGTTATAAACTGTAATAGACTGTTATTCAAATCTAATTTCTTTTTTCTTTTTTGCTTTATAGCTTTGAGAGTTCTCCAAGGCATGATTCTTATGTGCCAAGATTTGAAGCAGAACTTGCTCATTTCTGTGAAAAATTGGTAAGAAATCTTTCACATAGATTTGATATGATACTTCTTGTTACATAATATGGTAAGATTTTTATATTTTCTTGCAACAATTTCAGGTGATGGACTTAGATAGGAGAGTTAGACGTGGACGTGAGAGACTTGCTCAAGAGGTTGAAGTTCCTCCTCCTCCACCAATTCCAGCTGAGAAATCCGAACAACTATCTGTTCTAGAAGAAAAAATCAAGAACCTTCTAGAATCAGTGGAGGCACTTGGGGAAGCTGGCAAGGTAGATGAAGCCGAAGCACTCATGAGAAAGGTACTAAAAGTAAAAGGGTTCTTCTTGGTTTCTAAAAAAACTTATTTTGATTTTTGATTCTTGAATCTTGATTCCCATTTTGTACAGGTGGATCTGCTTAACATTGAGAAAACAGCATTGACCCTTCAACCACAGAATGAAAAAGTTCTAATGCTTGCACAAGAAAAAAAAATGGCTCTTTGTGAAACATGTGGTTCCTTTTTGATAGCAAATGATGCTCTTGAAAGAACCCAATCCCATGTCACTGGAAAACAGCATATCGGTTATGGATTGGTCAGAGATTTCCTTTCTGAATACAAAGTAAGCAAATTTCAAGATTCAAAATCTTGTTTTCTTCTTTTTTATAAAATTCATTGTGAATGTGATTACAGGAGGCAAAGGAGAAGGCAAGGGAAGAGGAAAGATTGGCAAGGGAGAAAGAAGCAGAAGAAAGAAGGAAACAAAGAGAAAAAGAAATTGAAGGTAAACACAGAAGTGGATCTGCTGACAGGGACAAGAATCGTTACAGTGACAGGTCATCACGTGATCGAAACCGAGGATCTCGGGATTCTGGAAGAACATCGGATCGTAGGGCCCACAACAACAGTTACAGAAATGGTGGTGGTGGTGGGGACAGGAGAGGGGATAGATACAGGGACAGAAGCAGGTCTCGTTCCCCTAGACATGGTGGAAGAAGGAGGTCATCCAGAAGTCCGTATTAGTGAGAGAGAAAGATTGTAGAAAAATCAAAAATGTCAAAGTCAGAAGAGGTAGACTTTTTTTTTTAAAAAAAAAATTCTATATAACTACCCGTAATAGAAATTCTATGAATGCTTGTGTTTTGGAGTCTTAAAAAGTTATAATGTGTTTTGGTTTTTGTTCATGGGAGAAGTGAAGTGAAGAGAACCTGTTTTTTGTTCTCACAGCTTTGTTGAGATATAACTAAAGGAGAAAAAGAGTCTAAGGGAGGTATTTTACTTTAAATTGTTGTTGCATAATAATAATAATCTGTTTTCATAATCTTTGGTTGGTGACTAATTGTTTTAAAGGGGTAGTTTATACAAATAGAACCACAAAGATTTGGTGAAAGAAATCATCATGATGGTTTTCCCATGGTTTGAGGTAACCACCCACAATTAAATCTTGAATCTTTACAATATCAGCATGTTGTGAGGTTTATGAATGATATGCATGCAGCCTCTGAATCTGAATCTGAAGTTGCTTTTTGTATGTGTTGAATGATTCTTTTACAAAAAAGGTGTTGAAGAAGCTCATAGAGGTAACCAAAGCTTGAAACTTGAAACTGTAACGTTTTGTTTTTGCAGGAAAGTTGGATCACATTTGTGATCAGTTTAATACTTTGCTATTAAACTGTTTTGATTATTTGGGATAGTATTAAGGTTGAAAATTTACAAGAGTTTTATGTTTTTAGAATGTATTTGAGATATTTCAAACATTTTTTTCAATATAAACTTTGTACAAACACCAAATTTTTCTTTATTTTCATAAATTGAGTTTCATGTTCTTCAATCTTTGACACTTTTATGGTAAGTGTGAAGTTTTAGTTTTAACTTGTTAAATAAGTTGGGTTTTAATTAAAACATGATCAGAATAATGAAATGTAACGTGATAGGAGATGTCAATGATCTTTATGTAGTGTGATATGAGATATCATTTTGATACATAGGGGAAGGTGATTGTGCAATGTGCACATACATACAAAGGTCTAGGGTTGTAGGAAAGTCTTTTGAATTGGTTCTAAATAGATTGGGTTGGCGAGTTCGACTAATGATTTTAAGGTGTTCATCAAGTCGAGAAAGAGATTTGTTGGCCTCCTTATTCAACATGAAGTCTTTCTTATTTATCAATCATTTATATGCTCGGTATTCCTAATTTTGTTAGGAATTGTCCCACTGCAAGTTTTTCCGTAAGGCTCTAGATCTACATGACACTCCAGGGAGAGACAAATTTTAAGCATATATTTTACTTTTGTCGGATTGGCTATAACGATCATACATGGAACCCTAAAGTTTCGGACATTGGCCTTGCAAAGCCTTTTGGTTCAAACACAAGTTAATTGAACATTTGAATTTTAGCACTCTATATTTTGACGATGCTAATCTAGTTTGAGAAAACAATTACTTACATTGTTCCGATAATTGTTAAAACAATACCTTTTGTCATTCACTTGAACTATTCCATAATTAATACCTCTCTAAATGGCCCGAAAGTTGCTTCATGTGATTGGTGGTGTAGTTGTGCTAGAAGGTTAATTTTTCAAGGTTTGTATTTCCAACTACCGGTGGATTGGGTGGGTGATGTGGTGTTGGTTGTGGTTGGTGTTGATGACGGTGGTGTTGTGGTGTTGATCAGTAGTGTTGTGCATTTTATTTAATAATCAAACTATAAATAATAATTATAAAAAAAAAAAAAAAAAAAAAAAGATAAAATAAGAAAAGGACAAAATAAATGAAATTTTGTCATTCCATAAGCATTTAACGGTCAGACGTAAGCTAACTAACTGTAAGTTTTTTAAACCACATAAATGAGCTATGTCAAAGAAGCATTATTTTCATAGGTATTTGTAGGCATCATGTGCAACACAATTACAAATACACAAAGTACCTCGTTATTGTACTTTTGTTGAGTGTAATGTTGAAGTTAGCGATTTATCTTCTATACACAATCACAAATCATGATGTTGATATAGAATTTAGAATTTTTCATAATCACACGGTTTCACCATGGCTCCAAATCAAAAGTCGCCAAGTCGAAAACGCAAAGTCCAAATCTGAAAGGCAAAAGACTAGTACCTATATACAACCTTAGAAGGTTTTCATCCTTTGATAATAGACTTCAAAAATCGATTAGGTTATTTATCCTCTTTTAAGTTCTTGTCAAGAATGAGTCCTAATTGGGCAGCCCTAGTAAATCTTGTCTCATAAAAAATAAAAATAGGAGAAATATGCAAATTTGGTCCTTGTTTCGTTTTTTGAGGTTTTGGTCTATGTTCAAAAATGGCAAATTTGATCCCTACTAGTAGGTTTCATTATGGTTTTGGTCCCTAGAGGTAACCCCCATCCGTTAATCAACCTATGTGCCTCTCATGTGAATGTATTTTAGTCATTTTACATCTCATCTCTCCTTAATCTATTACTTTCATCTGTGAAGAACCTTAATTCGTGACAAACATCTATCTTGCCTCTGTCTTTCCTATCATTCAAACTCACAATTAGGGATGTGCTTCGGGCCGGACCCGAACCCGAATAAACCGAAACCCGAATTAGATGAAAAGTGGGAACCGAAACCCGGACCGATTATACTAATACGAGACCGGTTCGGTTCGGGTAATGCGGGTTTCGGTTCGGTTATTAACCCGAAAGGACCGAAATAACCCAAATAAACATTTACATTATGTTTTCGAACCGAATAACCCAAATAAACCGAAATGACCCGAATAACCCAAATAAACCGAAATGACCCGAATAACCCAAATAAACCGAAATGACCCGAATAACCAAAATAAGGAAATTCTATATCTAGTTCAAGAAAAAAAATATTAATTTAATATTTTTTTTCTTGAACTAAATATAGAATTTCTTTATTTGGGTTAATCGGGTCATTTCGGTTTATTTGGGTTATTCGGGTCATTTCAGTTTATTTGGGTTATTCAGTTCAAGTGACTATTCACTTTCCGGGTCGGTATTTTTGGCCAGATTAAACCTTTATTCGGGTAACCCGGACCGAATAACCCGAAACCCGAATTGGGCAAAAATAGATACCCGAGAACCGACCTAAATAACTTATTTGGTCCTAATTCGGGTCGGCTCGGTCCGGGTTTCGATTTCGGTTCGGATATTCGGTCCAAACGCATATCCCTACTCACAATCATCAACAAGTTCACGATCTTCAAGCTCTCACTCTCTTCTCACCAATGACATCCTCATCTAATCAAATGTACTTCAAATAACTTTCTTATTTGTTTCAGACATGATAGTTATGATGATGATTACACACACATTGTTCATATTAAGATTGGACGATTTTACAAAACACCCAAAGATTTAAACCTTTGGGAAAAAAAACAAACTACATTTAAACGTCAAAAAAAAAAAAAAAAAAAAAGCTTAAAACTTGAACCTTTTTTCAAAACCATAAACCTTCAAACCTATCGTGAACCTTCAAAACATTGAACCCTATCAAGAATTGCCATCTCATGCTTCACTCTATGACCAAGGATTTTGCCGCAAAAGATTAATCATCGCCACAAGGAGCTCCAAATCTTTAGCTCTAGAGACCAAGAGATAAAGTTGTGTGATTTACCTTCTTGTGTAGTACCACTAGTACGGGAACCAATTAAGCTATTGAAGCATCTCACCCTTTTCATAACACCTTGCCATTATATCGTCACATTACTCCATAACAAGTTTATGTTTTTCGAAGCCCTTTCATAGATCGTATTTTATTTCACCGATAAACTGGGACTCAATTCTCTATTTTCTCGCCATTGATTGTTAGCTAGAAAAGATAGGTTTTTTTGAAGCTTAAGTAATATTTGAATATGTTTTTTTTATGTGTGGATTATGGTTGTTTATAAGGACAAGCTCATTACCCATTATTAGTTATTACACTAAAAAGACCCTTTGGTTGTTTCATATGCGTAGATAATAATTATAGTTTAAACACTAGTTTTACTTGTTTAGGAAATGAAGACCATAATTACATATATATCTAGAGCCTAGTAGAAATAATATCTTAAGGAACTATTTATATACCCTTTTATATATGCTTATAAAAAGTCGTACATTAGCCATACATATCTAGTATATCACATAATACTATGAATCTATTTCACAATTTCTTTATCATTTAGATTCGTAATGGCCAACATCCACCTTACCAATGAAGAATACATGCACTAGATTGCATCCTATTCTTCAGAGGAGATCAGGAAACATAATGAAAGAAAGTCACTCTTTAATGTTGAAAAGACTTAATCATCAGTCGATGAAGAAACTAGGACGATTTTGTTATCTCCATCCATAGCGACCACGAGGAACATGGTTCCTAAGTATCCCAATACTTACTTATTTCCTTGATGATGATGATTGGGATGTATAGAACCCGTGTGTTGATCCTTAAATACTCGAACTTGGAATAGTTGGTATCTTCAATTTTGACGACCCTAATACGCCATTGAAATTCATAAAGGCATATATATGACCACAAACATGTTTTTGCATGATTTGGTGGTCTTATAATGAAAACATTCATCAGTGCATTTAAATCCCAACTCTATATTCAAATCTTCTTTATCGTTAGACATTTAACGAATCGAGACATGTGAAGTATGCTCATAGCACAATGGCATTTTATGAATGATAGCTGGTTCTAGGTTAATCGATAAAGGAGGCATACACCAGAAAACATTGAAATCTTCATTACCTTTGTTTGCTTCATTCTCCACATCATAATCATTCATTCGAATATATTTATCCACTAAATCACCAACAATGTTCTCCTTGTATGATATATCTTTACAATAATCATAATTTTCTCTGCATAAGGATGGAGATGGGTATGCTTTAGAATCATTAAGCGAAAAGATACGGGCTCCATTTGCAGTCCTTGATGCACCAATATCACATGTAGGTTCCTCATTGAGAACATTCTTATATTTACATTGGACATTGGTTAACATAATCCAAAGGCCTAATATGAGAAATCATCATAGTTGGGACTTGATTGCTACCGGTTGTTGATCCCTTGAACTCTATGCACCAAAATCTACAGCATACAACATAGTTGTATGTGAATACACATAACGAACAGTATCTAAATAGTCATTTACCTCATCATCTAGACAACAGTGCCACCCATGTGGGATGTGGCACTCTTTTATATTTATATGATAATATTATCAACACACGTAATTTTATAGCCACCAAATTAATCAACCCATAATAGGTTACATCCAAAGGCAAATTCTAAGCGTGATTATTGCTAACATTTGTTGGACATATACTCCCAAACAACATTAACATTCTCTCACACCCCTCCGTTGTAATGAGCGCTAAAAGGAACTACTTTAATATTACCATTTTGTTAATTTATTATTGATTTAAATAAATAGGAAGATAAACATAATAGAATAAACTGATAGTAGGATTTTGAAATACGTATCTATCTATAAAGACAGCTAAATTGCGAAATTAAAACATATTGCGAATCATTTGCGATGGATGATATGATTTATTTATTTTTATTTTTTAAAAATTTAGTACACGACAATTTTACTTCAAATTACCAAATGACCATATATTTCTTAAAGAACCAAACAACCATGTTTTTTCTTAGAAATACCAAAAGACAATATTTAAAGTTACAAACGATAATATCACAAAAAAAAAAAAAAAAA